GTAGTTGTCTGTTTTCCAGTAAGTTCTTTATGGTGTGTAGTAGATATGGTGGTGTGTGGAGTTGGTATAGTTTGTATAGTAAGCCCCACTTGATTCCATCCACCCATGTTTTCCACTTTTAAATTGTGTGGTTGTTCTGCACCGTTTGTAGCGATGGGTGGTTGACTTACTCTGATGGCCTCTGTGTTTGTCCATGACGATTGTACGTGATATATTTTGTACTGTTTTATTACATTTTTATTTTTTTACCATTGTTGACTGCACTGTACGTAGTTTATGTTGTAGTATTTTGTTTTTTTACTCGCTTTGTCCATAAAATTTGTGAATTTTTCCGTGGCAATAAAGCATATTTTGATTTGATTTGCTTTGAAACTCAACAATTGCGCTTCGATCTCTTGCAGTGACCATTCAAGTGCCATTTTGGTAAACCCGATCAAAACCGACGCGATGAAAAAGGCCATGCTGGCAGGGGCGACGCCGTTTGCGCTGCTGCGCCCCCTTTCAGGAATTCCTGTGCTGGTTCGGGTGCTTCCGGCTGGCGAAAAACAGATGCTGGTTCCAGCCACCGCTGAAGATCTGAAGACGTTCGGGCATATCTCCATTAAGCCGAAGGTGGCCGATTCCAACTCCACTGAGCTGGCCGACAAGGAGATATCAGGTCTGTTTCATGGGGTTCAATGGGGGAAGACTGTTCGACTGTCTGTTTCAGGGGGCTGCATCGTGCAGATCAAGGTGCCAGTGGTGGCCACGGTGATCCAGGCCATCGCAGGGCTGAGCGGCGACGTTTCGACGAACGTGGTCAGTCCGGGACCCGGAGAAATCCTGGACAGCAGGAACTTGGACTTGAATGCCGATAGCTTCGTCTACGCGTCCTCCCTACCGGACAAAAGCGGCCCAGGTGGGTTTTGCGGGGTTTGACCGGGCGTTTTTTGGTGACTGGTGATGGTTTAGGTTTGGCGCATTCGTTTGCTTTCGATGACAAAATGTTGGGCGGCGAAGAAAAGACACTGGATGGTAGCAGTGCTGCTTTGGCCAATTCGATGGAATTTACTTTTGAAATCCCCCAAGACGCTCGGGCGGACTTGATTTACCCTTTCACTGGAAGCGCGGCGCCCCAAAAGGTGAGCCAATCTTAGCTGCAAGAGGACCGTTTCCTGTTAATACGCGCATGTTTGTATGAGGCCAAAGGCATGAGCCCTAAGGGTACAGGAGGGCTTAGGGGCCTGGTTAATAAATTGCTGCTTGCTATTGTTCGTCAATTATCCAGGAATTTGTGTAGTGTGGTTCGTGCCTATCTGAAATGAATATTTAGCACCCTGATTTGAATAAGCAGGTAGTCGGGGATAATCGCGCCAAATTAGGCTGCGACATTCGTTCTTTTTTAATTCCTCATGGATTCTTTGGCGTAGTA